AAATGTAGTCATTGTTAAGTTAATCCAGCAAATGCATACTCTTAAATATAAATTTTATCCACTCAAAATAAAATGGTATACAGTAAATGTAATGTTTTTATTACAGAATATTTCTTAGCCTTTTTGGATCTGAACAGTGAGCTTGTATCTCATGGGAACATAGGAAGTTGCTTTATACTGCATCAGCCCATCTGCCCAAGTATTGTAAACTCTGACTGGCAGGACTGCCTCTCCAGGGTTTCAGACATTAGGTGGTAACAGAACTGCAGCCAAGGATTTACTAGAACAGAGTTTAAAATATCAGTAGCAATGTAACTGAAAACTTTCCTATTTCAGGAAACACTTTCAAAATGAATGTGTCTGCTGCAAAATGGACTGTTCCCCTTGTGCATCTGCCATAGAATTACTACAGTGTGTAAAGAATTCTGCAACCCAGTTGAGGGTGTAAGTCAAATTTGACCAAGGCACTGGTATGGCACACTGGGTTATTCACCTTCACACTGTAGGAGGAAGACCTCAGGACATGCTGGGGATTGAACCTGAGACTACGTGCAGGCCAAACATGTGCTCTGACACTGAAGCACAGTCCCTTCACCCTTTGGGCATGCCTGACACTTTAACACTAGAGCTTTATGTGGTTGATCGGTTTTGGGAGTTGTGTGTATAATTGTTTTTTAGGGAGCTGTGTGTTTAAAATATTCACAAATTAAAATGTATTGATATTTTATTATGTAACAATAGGAACTCTCAGAGCTTATATAACATGTTATACTGTGTTGTGGTGGCGGAAGACAGCTCATAGAGGTGATTTCAAAAGAAAAGTATTAACCATTCAATTTAATTTATAAATCCATAGGGAATTGCGCAACTTAACTATGGCTTATTTATCTGATGAAATGGTGTCAAAACAGAAGATAATTGAAGAAGATCGCAATATGTTAAATAAGGAGCACTTCAGGCTTTCAGTAGAACTTCAGCACTTACTAGCTTGCCTGCCCACATACTGCTTCATTAGTCATTTTGCGTTAAGTTGACAGCCTAAAAGAAAAGTTAGTAGCTGAACTTCCCATAGGTGATCTAACAACTGGACATTTTCAGGTCTGAGCTAATTTGTTGTTCCCACTCTAGGCAGGAAGAAACTGCTACTACTTTAGCCATTAATTAATTAGGTGTTATGATGGCTTAAAAACAAACAGATAGCCTAAACTTCCTCTCAGGTTTGTTTTGAGGATAAAATGAAGAGGAGGGTTATGTAAGCTGCCTTTCAGGAAAGAAGATGGGATATAAAAATAATTAAATATCCTCCAAGACTGGACAGAGTCCTGAAAGACCATTTTTGCCCTTCCCTCAAACATTCATGATATGGCTGTATTCATTTTTGGGGATGAATTTTTGAATGTCCTCATGACACTTCGCTGTGGTGGCAAGTTGAGCTGATTCAGAGCTTCTTGGAGGCAGGGATGTGTGTGTGCATGCATGCATACAGATAAGAGAGATACAAGCTTAAAATTACATGGGGCAGAATATTAATATGGTAAAAGATTGTGGGTTAGATTTACTTGGTCAGGTTCAGTGCTGGAGTGAATAAACATCATAACTTTGCCCTGTTTCAGGGCAGTGCAGGGAAACATGTGGACCTACAGATGTTGTTGGACTGCAACTCCAATCAGACCTAGCCAGCATAGCCAGTTGTGAAGGATTATTAAGTCCTACAACATTTGGAGATCCATAAGATTCCTTGTTTTTGTGTTCCCAGAAATGCATCATGGTTGGCTGTTGGCTTTGGTACTTGGGTTATTTACAGTCTGAGTCAAGTGATAGTGAAACAACCCCCCCCCCCCCCCCCCCCCAAAGTCTTTACAAGTATGAATTCTGTGGGTCCTGGGCAAATTGTACCTAAATGGCTGTGCTGTGTGTGGTGTTCACTTTTAACAAACTTTATCTTTGTATAGTAGGTCTGTTACTATATTGATTACATTTTTAATCACACCTTTCTACCTCTTTCAAGGAACTCAAGGCCTTTTACATGGTTCTAGAGAGCCACTGTAGTTTAGTGGCCCAGAGCATGGGTCTGGAACTCAGAAGATCTGGGTTGTAGTCCCCACTTGACCATGAAGCTCATTGAGTGAATTTAGGTCAGTCACAAACTCTTAGCCCAGCCTATCTCAGAGGATTATTGTTGTGAGCATAAGATTGAGAGCAGCAGGAGGAGAATGATGTAAGATGCTTTGATTTCTTAAAAGAAAAAGGCAAGCTATAAATCAGTCAAATAAATAAATAAAGGTTCTCTCCATTTTATACTCATAACAACAACCCTATGTGGTAAGGTAGGCTGAGAATCCACGACTGGCCCAAAGTCCCCCTGTGAGCTTCATGGTCAAATGGAGAGTAGAGCCCCAGTTTCCTGAGTCCCAGACCACCACTCTTAACCACCATGCTGCAGAGCTGCTTCCTCCTTCGCAGGAGAAAAGAAGAGTCTCAGTGTAGGGAAATGTAGCTGTGAATAAGCTGAGGGCTGCTTTTACATGAGCACTTGAAATAATTCTCTAGTTAGAATGGAATGTGCCACTACATTCAGCTGTAATACCCCAGGCTCTTCATAATGCGCCTAACTCCTGGCTGAAGAGTCATTTATTGGCTATATGAGATTACATTCCTGCAGAGAGGGTTTCAGTAGCTTTAATAGCAGATGGGATGTTTCAGGGGGCTTTAGGCGATCTGACTCTAAATGCATTCTGGTTACACATGATAGATGGGGGATTCTAGTTAGGCTGGACATTTATACTATTACGGCTTTCTTCTGCACTCACATAGTTGATGCAAGCATTTATCTTCCAATCTGTGCCATTTAAAGATGAGTATGCCTGGAATAATCCCAGAAAAAATGGCAGGCAAGGAAAGGGACTGGGGGAAAAAACATGAGAAAAGCTCCTCAATGTTGTTGTGGTTGTTTTCCTCCAGGGATTTTTGACTAATTTAGGGGAAAACATTACAGATGGAGGGAAACATTTTCCCCCATTTTCCCAAGCTGTAAAACTATTTCCCTTCATTTGCCCTTATACTGAGGTAAAAGCCTCCTTCCTGCATCTTTTATCTACCTGCTCATTAGACAACATGTGCTTCCAGATGACTCTGACTAGTAATCAAAGGGCTACTCAGACTTCTCTTCCTCTATTGTTTTGTTTTGTTGTTGGATGAAAAATGCACAGAAAGGTGATGTGCAAACATGTGAGGGTTCCAAAGTGAAGATGATGCCCTGGGCCCCAGCAGCCCTACATAAATGAGGCAGGGAGATGTGTGATCAAAAAGGGAAAAAAAGCCTTGATCACAAAGTACCCTAAAAACAAGATGGAAATGAAGGCTGTATCTTAGGGATGAAACTGGGCTCCTACCTCTCTATAAATAATAAGTAATCTGTCCTCTTAAGTTGCCAAGGAAATAAATTGCCATTTCTCTGTTTACAGAAATGGTATTGTATTCCCTGCAGAAGTGCCTTTCTTTTAAACTCTCAATAAATAGAGACACAATCCAGCGGGGATGCCTGTAAGCCTCTACACTTTGAGGATGATGGGCTTCCTATGCAGGGAGGGGAGGAATAGAGAATGCCTCTTCCTGTCCTGGAGGTCAGGCTGTCTAGAAACAGAGCACAGTCGGGACATGTTGCATCCTGCAGACCCAGTTTCCTTTCCCGCTGCCCTTGGAGGTGCAGCCAGTGTGGTTCTTTTGGTGCTGGCTGTGCAGGATCCCCAGCTCCGAGGCTGGAGCTCTTTTCCATCTTTGGATCTGGTCATCCAAGCAGTTCCGTGGCCCCATGCCGCTTCCTGGGGGCAGTAGGATTTCTCCGTGGGTCATTTTATGCATGGTGGATGGAGACATCCTGAAAATGCCTAGAGTGGCCCCAGTCTGGTAATGCTTGCATGAACAAAAGGGATTAGGTATGCATGCCTCACTTTTGAATAGAAATCTGTGCTCCTACTTTCTCCTTGGTTTTCTTTCCTCTAATTCACATCAGTGTGGCTGTTCTCAGTGTGTGAGACAACTTCATAGATCACAAGCAGTGGGTCAGGTCATACATCCGCCACTCAGGAAATCCCATGGGCTGGACCACCTTTCGTATGGCCTGCACATGGGTCAGTGGGTGCTTCCTGTTGTAGGGGTGGGGGAGGCAGCCTGGCCTCTTCTGCTGATGCTGCCTTTTTCTGTGTCCGCTGATAAACTACTCTGGAGGGTTGGGATCCTGTGGAACAGAGAAGGATGTAGCATGGGGAGAAGCTGAAATCACCAAAAATCAGTCCCGTCCAGAAATGGAAGGGACCATCTGGTTGGGACACTCTACATCAGGAGTGGGGAAACTCGGGATTAAGAGCTAAATATAATATCCAGGAGTTCCTGTCTAGCCCTTTGGATTTCTGCAGATGGCTCCACCCAATCTGTTTGATGGCTTCCCAGTTTTTGTGTAGTTTTTTCTCCATTCTAAAAGGTTGGCATATACTTCTGAAAGTTTATGCACTGGCAGTAGGAGCTTAAGGGAACAATCCTATGCATGTTTAGGCAGGAAGATGCCCCATAGCTGCCTGGCATGCTTTTTCCTGTTTAAATGTGCATTGGATATACAGTATGGTCATATGTGATATAAAAAAAGAGTCAATTTAACTGTAGTAATTGTTAATGTGAATGTGACCAAGTTAGTAACAACATATCCTCTGTGCTGCTTTTTCATCCTGTCAACTGGTAGGAACTTGCTGCCCTCCAGATGTTTTGGACTGCAATTCTTCTATCCTCAGTCAGCTTGACCTGTGGTCAAGGATTATGGGAGTTGTAGTTCAAAGTGCCTGGAAGGCACCAGGTTGCCTGCATTTGGGAGGTAGAGATGCAGTTGGGAGGCAAGGCAGGAGTCACCATTAGCAAAGGCACTGTAGACTTGGACATAATGTCATTGTTTTTCTCTACGTATTGGTCTTTATGCCTGAATTCTCCCCCTTTTTGTTATGCCTTCTTAGTCCCCCATGTTTGATGGCAAAGTACCACATTGGCACCACTATGCTTGCTTCTGGAAGCGTGTGCGACTGGTGTCCCACGCAGATGTGGAGGGCTTCTCAGAATTGCGTTGGGAAGATCAGGAGAAAATCAAGAAATCCATAGAAAGTGGCAGTGCTGGGACAGGTAGGTGAATTACAAATGATGGTGAAAAAAAGACAGCCACACTTGCTATCTGAGCCAAGGTGATGTTGGGGGTGTAAACCTGTGGATTCTACACTGAGGACTGGCTTTAAAAATTGCAAGACTCTCTTAAAGAGGTCTCTGAAATTCACTTGTTCATGAGAGTGGTTTACAGAAAGGGCTTATTGCTGCTTTCCCTAATATGGTTCCCTCTAGATGTGTTGGACTAAAATGCTCGTCATCCTTTTTACTAATGCCTGGGCTTGGGGAACTTTACATAGTAAAACTGTTTTATATTTGATATGCCTCATCTGTGTGTTCTTCAGTTCTCCAAGGCCAGGAATGAAATCCGATTTCAGAAGTCAACCTCTCTTCTCTTTTTTAGGCAAGAGTGTTGAGCAAGAGGAAAGTAGCAAAGGTGAGAAGAGTTTACATGATTTTGCCGTAGAATATGCAAAGTCCAACAGAAGTTCCTGCAAAGGCTGTAAACAGAAGATAGAAAAGGTATTTAGAAATGAAACACTGTGTGTGAAATACAGGGCTGTTCAGTTTATTGAGCCTATCATGTTCTGTATCTTGTTTTCTTCACAACTATTTAGAAGTCATGTTAGAGGTATACAACATAACTCATGATGGAAGAAAGTAGATAGGGAGAAGTTATTCATAATACCAGAGCCTGGAATCATCCTATTTCAGCTGATTAGTGGAAGATTCAGGTCAGATAAAAGGAAGTGCTTCCTCACACTGTGCATGATTGCTTTGTTCTTACCTTTGAACAATACCTTTCTCTCTTTCTTAAGACTACCCAAGGCACCTGGGATGTTCCAGCTCCCATCTTTTGTCCACATTGGTTTCAAATTCCTTTTAGGTGTAAATCACTGGTGGTCATTCTGAATACAACATAGAAATTGGAATTACTATTAAGACCAAAATATTCATATACTTGTCAGATCTAAAGTTCAAGCATCTGCTTGTCTAGAAAGAAAGTGGCAATTGCACCATCTCCCTTCTCACACTGGAGGGAGTGTGTGAAACAGGAATAGTACATACAGTTAGTACCTACCAGTAGTACCTGTAGTACCTACTAGTTGTAGGTCATAGAGCATTTAAAGCTCCCAGTATAAAAAAGCAACCTTTACCTAACCTTTCCCTCGATAATGCTATTATTCTGTATTTTGGGAATCATCAGTGCTCCTGTCCTTTTTTTCTCATTTCTAATGAGATAGATTTTAATCTGCTCAATCGGTCAAGTACTCGTATCACTTTATGGAATTGAAGAGCTGATGTGGACTTCAAAATATTTCTTTTATCACAGTATTTAACCAGTGACTTTTTAACCACCCTCAAATTTTCATTTCACTTAACACAGTTTTCAGAAATACTATGCTTTTGTTGCAAAACTGCATATTTGTCAAGCAAGAGGGATATGCAGCCTAATTTACTTGGGAGGTGGGGGCAAGAAGGATGGATAATGGTATTAAAAGAGTAAACCGAAAACATCATTGCTGGATGATAAATATTGTTAATAAAGAAAATTTGGGAACTAATCACTTTAACTATCACAAACCTGTTTTGTTTTTGTTTTTTAACCAAAATGTGTTACTCTGAATTGGTTTGTAAAAGTTTGCACTGAAACAGCAACATACAGAATTTCAGGGTTTCTTTATATCTTTTTATCCACCATAGGGGCAAATTAGAATTTCAAAGAAAATGGTGCATCCAGAGAAGCCCCAGTTGGGGATTATAGATAACTGGTACCACCCGACTTGTTTTGTCAGCCACAGAGCAGAACTGGGTTTTCTTCCTACCTTTAGTGCCTCTCAACTCTCAGACTTTGTCCACCTGAAAGCTGAAGATAAAGAGGTTCTGCAGAAGCAGCTCCCTGCAGTCAAGAAAGAAGGGTATGTTCAATATCTTAAAAGGAAGCACAGTGTACATTGTGGAGCAGCGGCACAGGTGGTTGTGGGTCAGGCTGCTCTAAAACACTGAATTATTGATTTACAGATTGATTGGTAAAATGTTTGTAGTGCTCCGTATCTAACAAGGTTCCTGAGCAGTAAACAATAAAAAGGAAGGGAAAAGAACCAAAACACAGAATTGAAATGCTTGCAATCTGATTATGTAAGTGAGACTGTGTGTAAATAAAAATGCCTTCAGCAGACTGCCTGCCTGGCATCAACGGCTATGGAATGCGCTCCCCAGAGAGGTTTGCCTGGCACCGACATTAATATGCTTTTCGGAGCCAGGTCAAGACCTTTTTATTTACCCGATATTTTAAAGTTTAAATATTTTAATTATGTTTTTATCCTCAGTGGTGGGTTATTATGATGTATTTATTGGGTAAATTATTGTAAGCCACCCAGAAATGTACAGTAATGGATGGGTTAGAAATATTCTAATAAACAAACAAACACACAAACAGATGAGGAGTTCCATGGACAGAGAACTGGTTCACTGAAGCCTTTACTCCAGGCCAGCTCCATTGGACCACAGGGCCATGTGGGGCCACCGGAAACACCCCATCCAATGATCTCAATGACTGGACAGACTAGTAAAGGAGAAGGTGTGCTCTCAAATATCCTGGTCCCAAGTTAGTGTAGGGCAGGGGTCCTCAGACTTTTTCAGCAGGGGGCCAATTGAAAGCCGGCAGGCATGGGCCGTGAGGCGGGGGTGCCTGCGGGTGCGGGCCGGTGCAGCAGTGGTGGATGAGGTGGCGGCTTGCTCGCTCGGAGATCGTTTTCTCCAAGTGAGTCCAAAACGATCTCTGAGCGAGCAAACCGCCACCTCGCCACACGCATGGCAAGGCAGGCACGGGCGTGGGGATCCAAAACCTCTTGAGGCGGGCCAGATAAATGGGCATGGCAGCCCGGATTCAGCCTGCATGCCGTAGTTTGAGGACCCATGGTGTAGGGATTTGTGCACCAGTGACTCAGATTGTCAAAAAATCTGCAACACATTCAGAGGAGCTCAGATTTCCATGAATTCAACTGCAGTTTAGCTTTTTCTGAGTTACATGGGCTTGTAAGCCACTTTCAAGGGGGATTTGTGCTAATATGCACTTGTGCAAATGTGCTAGTGCACATTCTTTAATATACAGTACCACCGATTTACAGTAACTAATGCAGATTGATGCTAATGTGAATTAACATTAGAATGGAAATCTGGTTTTAAATTTTGATATAAGGAAACAAATCAGTGGGAAAAGAACAAAAAATGTCTGAAAATCCACAAAACACGAACAGACTGGATTTAACAAAAACTGTGATGTCTCTGTCAGCAACAAACCCTTTTTAATAGTATTTTCTGTCTGTCCAAAGAAGGAATATTCAGGGATTGTGGCTGGGACAAAGGGCACTAATTAAGCAGGCTCAGCAGAGCTTTCGGAGAGTCTGTAGCTTGCAGCAACTTAATCTGCCTTGAGAGGCAGTTTGCTCAGACTGAAGAGACCAAGCTCTGTACAGGCTTCTCCAGTCAGTGGAGAAGATGGTTGCGTAGTCTTCGAAGTTTCTGTAGTGAGAATGCTAAGAAGAAAACTGCAAAAAAGGGCAAATGCTATTTTAGGCAGCATTAATAGAAGTATCACTTTGAAATCACATAAAACACTAGTTCAGCACAGGTTAGGCCTCACCTGGAGTACTGTGTCTATTTCTGGGCACCAGGATTTAAGAAAGATGCAGACAAGCTGGATAAGGTTTGGAAGAGGGCAGCAAGGATGACTGGAAACAAAGTCCTATGAGGAGAGATTGAAAGAAGAGGGCATGTGTAGCCTTGAGAAAAGAAGACTGAGTGGAGATATGATAGCACTTTTCACGTACCTGAAGGGCTGACACAGGAAGGAAGGACAGGATCTCTTCTTGTTCCGTCCAGAGCGCAGGACATGGGATAAAGGCTCATGCTACAGAAAGCCAGATTCCGGCTAGATAGCAGGAAAAATTTCCTGACTGTTAGAGCAGTACGTCAGTGGAACCAATTACCTAGGGAGTTTGTGGGCTCTCCCATAGTAGAGGCATTCAAGATGCAACTGGACAGACATCTGGGAGGGATGGTTGAACTCGGTGTCCTGCACTGAGCAGGAGGTTGGACCTAATATTTATTTATTTATTAAAACATTTCTATGCCGCCCCATTCGCCGAAGCCTCGGGGCGGCTCACAACATAAAATAAAATACAAAAATAACAATATAAAAATAACAATATGAAAGAAGTTGCCCTGGCCAAATAAATAAGCAAATACTGTTAACAATTAAAATGACGCTTAAATAAAAAGGTCTTCACCTGGCGCCGAAAAACAAATAACGACGGCGCCAGGCGGACCTCTCTGGGGAGCACATTCCATAGATTGGGCGCCACCGCAGAGAAAGCCCTCCTCCGAGTACCTACCCTCCTAATTTCTTTCACGGAGGGTTCCCAGAGGAGGGCCTCTCCCGCAGATCTCAAGGGGCAGCCGGGCATATATGGATGTATATATGTATATATGGCCCCCTGACCCCTTCCAACTCTACTATTCTATGATTCTGTGAATGTTGGCGGGGAGAATATTGGCAGGGAGAAAGGGAACGTTTAGGGAAAGTTTAACCAATTTTATAATATCCTTCGTTATCAAGCCACAGCTACTTTCAGTTGGTAAGCCAGAACCAAACCACAAACGTGGGGTCTGCCAACATTCTTCTTAAAAGCATGGGGTTGTCAAAACTTTTCCTGTGTTCTGAACTCCTGGAAAGTTTTGTGGAAACATTGCTTTGGTATCTGGGCAGTTGCATGGCACCAAACCAGCTTATTCTCTGCTGGCCTCTTGTCAGAGAAGCGCTGCTGAATCATGTTTGCACTTGTCAGCTGTTGCTTATGGCAGAGAGATGTGATTTGCCTGCATTCCTCTGTGTGTCAGATTGTTTGAGACTTGTTCTTTGCTATGCTCAGGGCAGATATGAAATTGAAGCTGCATAAAACATTTGCTGTGGTGTCTGGATCTCATTGGCAGATTGACTGTGTAAATGTTCTCTTTTACCTATTTTGCTTTTACTTACAAGAAGATAAATTTTAAATAAACCTGCATTGCATGAAAGACGTGTGAAATTGGACTACCATTGTTTTGCCCATGGTACTTTTTTTAAAAGGCCAGTACAAATCATTGTGTTTGTTATAGGTTTGGGGGGTTTAATTTACTGTTTTTTAATTTATTATTTGTATCCTTTTGAAAATCTTTATAAACTGCCCTGAGTGGCTTGCAGCAAGACAGCTGTAAAGCAGATAAGCAAACTAAGCAATCACAGTGGAAAACAGCTTTAGCTTGGTGGCAGTGCTTCAGCAGTCTCATTTGTCATATCTTTGCTGGTTTGAAATTACCTGGATCTGTGGTTTTTGCTCAGGTAGCCATTAAAAACCTCGAGCACATTGGTGACATACACAGGGCTTAAAAATGCTATACTGCGTAAGCAACAGCCTTTCTGATAGGCAACATTTTGCATCCAGGACCAGATAAGGCATTGAGAGAGACTCTGTTGCCCTGGTCACCTCCTTCTCTTTACCCTCAGGTCTGTAGAACAAAACTCACATTCCCTAAATTTTGGTGGGTTGCTCAGCCTGTTGCATTTTGATTAAACAAGAAATGGTTATAGTCTATTTGGCAAATGTTTGTAAGTGATAAAAATTTGCGGGGACATCTTTTGATTTCACTAGCAGAGAAGAGACTTCACACTTAATGGAAATAATTATTTTATTTATTGTATTTATTTATTTAAAACTTTTATGTGCCATCCTTATGCATGGCATCTCAGGATGGGTTACAATAATTAAAATCAGAATATAATAAAACAATCCATACCAGTAAAAATAATTAAATAAAAAGCTACTGTTAAAACATTAAAATTCTAATTTTTAAAATAACGATTGAATAAAAAATCATGGTTTGAAAGTGACAAATCAAATAATGCTTTGAAGGAAAGGGCAATTTTGCTGAGAAAGCTGGTTGTGAGATTCACTAGAATCTGATGCCTTTTAGGTATTGTTACAGAATCCTTCCAAGCACATGCCTGGACTGTAACTTGGAGGAAGGGAAGGCACCAGTGAGGAGTAGAGTTTCCAAAGCTGCATTTCAGAACTCTTTTCATGAAGGCCTTCTGTTCTTGCAAGGCTGGCTTGTTTTGAAAGTTTTCCTTCCAACTTTAGACTGAAAGAAATACTCTCTATTTTCTCCACCTGAAGCACACATGTGTACAGCCACACTGCCTTTTCTTGGGGACACCTTTGCATAGAGAATGTAATATGTGCTTTATGACTGGAGGCTTAGAAAAGCGCTTCTGCTCTTGAAAATGTCATAGCCAGGAAATTATGGGTTGTATCCCATGTTCATCTAACTTGAGTAACATTCATTTTAATGGACCCATTCTTAAGCAGCACTAATTGAATTCAACCCAGTGACTGTATCGACAGAAGGAACATGTTGCATAATGCGTTCTTACACAAGGTGTTCCTGGGGAAACTCATAGTGCACTGTAAGAAAAGGAATGTCTGAGCTAGCTATTACATCTGCCATTTATGAGAGCTTTCAGACCTTGATTGGCTCAAATTTGAGAGCTTTCAGACCTTGATTGGCTCAAATATGAGAGCTTTCAGACCTTGATTGGCTCAAATACAGGTCTTTCCCAGTGTGATCACCGCACACGAGGCATTGATGAGAGTGACAATGTTACTGCATCCTCTGATGACCATCCAGTATGATATTCCTAGTTTGTACATTTTAGTTAGTCTGTTCTCTGTGCCTCAGGGTGTTCAGAATATGATGCTCTTCCTTGTGATGTGAAGGAATTGCTCACAGGTTAATATAAAATCTTGCAAGATAGAATGGAAAGAATGAACATGGAGGTGTGAAAAACAAAAAAGAGCCAGAGCTTGAGTATTCAGTAGATGAAGATCTAGGAAATGTAATTTACAGCATAACTTTGAGTAAGTACTTAGTGTATGTTTTTTTTCCTCTTTCAGAAAGAGAAAAGGAGATGATGTAGATGCCAATGCGGTTTCAAAAAAGAAACCGAAAAAGGAGAAGGACAAACAGATGAAACAGGAGAAGCTGCTGAAGGTTTGTTTGTTGGTGGCTAACCAGCCTCATAAAAGTTTTTATTTATTTATTTAGCGTCTTTATATGCCGTCCCAGTTGCATAAGAAGTTCTTCTGTGCAAAAAACGTGACGTGTCACAACTTGTAATAAAAAACAAGTGACCTCTGCTTGAGCGCCCCTGCTGGCATCCCCTTTCAGCAGGTGCAGTTCAGCAAACCAAAGAATCTCCATCCAGGGTTTGTTTGGTGTTGCGTCTCGGTCAAAGTGTGTTGCTTTCCTGATAGCCAGAATCATAAGCCAGAGATTGCTTTATTAATGTCAGGTAGATGGGATAGAGATGGGTTTCACAAGTACCTTTCTCTGACTTTTTAGTTTTCTAAGCTAGAAACCTTCTCTCCATACTCATGCGGTGGGGGTTTTGGATGGAAACACTAGCATTTAGTGTTTTGAACTATAAGCCGTCCTGAGACCCACTGGGTATTGGACATGGTAAAAATTACCCAAATAAATAAATTTAGTCATGCAAGGGTTGATGAGGAAGCAAGACCTTTACTATTCTTGTTGCAATCTCTGTTTGCCATGTGTATTTCACAGAGCTGGCCTTGTCTCCCATATCTCTGTTTTCCATCTTTTTTAAATAATACCTTACATATCCAGAAAACAAATATATACTACATCACTTGTAAGAGTTCACATTACTGAACATGTCACTCACACATGCAGCTCTTAACTAGTTCCATTAAGAAGGAAATTGAAACTGCTATTTTGCATCTACAGGAGCAGACAGAATTGATTTGGAACATCAAAGATGAGTTGAAGAAAGCCTGTTCCAACAATGACTTGAAAGAGCTCCTGATAGCCAACAAACAAGAAGTTCCTTCCGGGGAATCTGCTGTGAGTTGGACCTGTTCTAGGTGACATTTTGACCAACTCAGTGCGGCACCTTTTTCTTGTCAACATTTTTCTGAGTGTTAATGCTCTGTGCATGTTTAGTTAAATTTAGATAAATGATCGTGGACATCAGTAGGGCTTGCATCCACAGGTAGTGAAGTTTTAATTCAGTTGCATAGTTCTGATTAAAATAGTCAGACTTCTATTGAGCTTCAACAATGGCGCATGGGAATGGGGCGTAAAACAGGGAAGAGTGCAGTGGTGAACAGTGCCTGATCTAGACAGAGTGTTGCTGATAAACTTACATCCCACATGTCAATGGACTATAGAAAATTTAGAAAACTGCTACATTTCTTAGATATAAAGTACTAATGCAATTGAGTGAGAAGAAACTGCCCTCCATCATTGGATTCTTCTCAGAATTGGCAGTGAACCAATTGGCAATGATCCAAAGCTTTTTTTAATCACTGGTGCTAGGGTCAGTTGAACCATTAACTCAGTGGAGTGCCTTTTTCTTGTGCAGATAAGAGGATTTTAAATCAGAAGTGTATAGGACCCATATAGACAACATGTTTCTGCTGCAATAGAACATGGGCAATAGTTACAGCCTTCCTTCTCATAAATGTGTGTTTCACATTCTGAGAGAGAGAATATACTATCCTGAACTCTGGTCACGTCTTCTCCCTCATGTGTCCCAAATATAGAAAGAAATGCGTGAAGTTAATCTTGCTTCTGATGAGGGTGCCCCTCTAACCTGAGAGTCAAATGGACTTCTGGTGAAGCATTCCAGTGTGGAATATGCTAGCTTAGTTTAGCTTAAAGCACTTTAGCTTAAACTCTCTAAGACATGGGAGAGGGGTTTTAACCTTTTACAGTGGGGTAAAACTATTCAAACTCTGGAAACACACTGAATGACCAGGAGTGTGGTCTAGGAGAGGGGACATGGCCATTTGGGGAATACCTTAGAACTAGATTTGGATCCCAGGATATCCAGTTGTGCCCCATGGACCTATGGGTCTTCATCCTTGTATTACAGGATGAGGTTCTACGATACTTGGACAGTGGCAGTTCTGTGAATGTATTTCTTAGTGCAGTGGCACAACTACTGCCATGCTACTTGCAGGAACCTTTCTTATTTTTTATTGTTATATTTTGCATTTTGTTACTTTAGATCCTGGACCGTGTTGCTGATGGGATGGCCTTTGGGGCTCTCTTGCCTTGCGAGGAGTGCAAGGGGCAGTTTGTATTTAAGGGTGATGCCTACTACTGCTCAGGGGACATCACAGCTTGGACTAAATGTGTTGCCAAGACACAGACTCCCAACAGGAAAGAGTGGGTAACCCCAAAGGTAGGGAATGCAACATGCGTGTCACCTGTTTGTTATAAAAGGGTCTGTGAAATTACAAAAGTGGGTGATGGGGGCACATTTTAGGGGAAGGGAAGCTGTGGCTCCGCCTTTCCATGCTGGATGGAAATTGTGGGAGTTGAAGCCCAGCGCATCTGGAGGGCCCCATCTTGGCAAAGGCTGCTCTAGCCTTTGTTTACCCTAGTGCTTTGCACCTCTTTTGCCCTCAGCATCCTTTCTCTGCAAAAAGCCCCCGTTCAGCAGTCCAGTCCCCAGCTTCTGTCTCCAGATTGCTCAGCTGTTCTTCTTGCTCTATGACCCCCAGCCCAATGAAAATAGGTTAGGGTCAAAGCAGAAAACTGGGCTGCCTTTGCCTAGCCTTGCCCTGCTCCACCTGCTGCAAGGGCCAGAAAGGATGGAAGGCCAAGGAGGTGGGGAAATTCTTCTACCTCTCCATCAACCAGTTTGAAAGAAACATGAAAAGTACAAGATCAGCAGTGTTGGTGATGTTCCTTTTTTTTACCTACAGTTTTGCTGAAATTTGTAAACTCTTTTGTATCAAAAACCCTTGGAGATCACTCAGATCTACCTGTAGGTCCCAAATTTTTAATTTTTACCAAAAAAACAAACAATCCCACAACTTATGAGCAGTAAATATTACTATTCTTTAAAGCTAGTGTCTCACCTTTTATCATGGCAGTACTGTTGGATGTTTTATAAGTTGTATTAATTTTTCCTTCATGTGTTGTTGCAATGCAGGCTTTTCGAGAAATCACATACCTAAAGAAATTCAAATTTAAAAGGCAGGATAGAGCATTCCCTCCCGAGGCTGTCTCAACAAACTCCGCACCTCCTCCCACCGTGTCTGCTCCTATTATGGAGAATGCAGAGGCTCCAGCCGGTAAATGACCTGCAAACCAAAGTTCATACTAAAGAGAGACAGTTTTGATGCAAGAAAGCATACCACATGAAACGTTTGCAAAATTACCTCTGTACTTAGCAAACAGTTTTATTTAAAGAAGATCAAACAATGTTGCATTTGCTCATCCTTTTTCTTGCCTCACCGTATCCCCACTCATAACCTGTGGTGTCTTTTCTAAACAGGAATAGGCAGAGCTAAAGAAATTAACTTTTTGCTGTCATTTGTTGCCACCTACTGGCTTGTTACCAAATAATAGCATTAACTAATAACAGATAACTAGTTTTCCAGTAAGGTAAGGTACGGACACACCTGCATACATCCTACTAATCACATGATCATAATTGTAGTTACTGTGCCTAAATTAATCTCGAATGAACTTGTAGCACACTGATGTAACATATTGGACAAGTTTATATGATCAGAAGAAGCAGTTCTGGCTTATTTATTGAAGGTGCAGTAGCATATTGAATCATGGATCGTGCTGAGTAAGATTTCTGTGAGCATTGCCCAAGCATGGCTTGTCATGTCACCTGAATCTGTGGATCCAAACCTATTTCCCTGTTGGATGGAGAAATAACCTTCCACTAAATAACCCTATGGGGTTAAATTACATTGTGAATTAAACAATCTACTACTGGAGAGAAAGTTTTCAGTGAAAAACCAAAATAATATTCTCAGTAACCTGGTTTGCACAGTCAGAATAAGCCACAGCAATAGGCTGTGCTTCTGTATCCTGCCTTGGTGCATTCTCCAGTTATGTACAAGAGCTGAATATGGAAACAGTCATAGAATTTGAGAGCCCAAGAATTGCAACTTATGGTAAAAAGAGAAAACCAAGAATCCAGTACTCTATGATGCAGGTAGCAAGTTTGGATGTGCAGTAGACAATACGTACAGAAATCTTGGAAGTTATGCTTGCTCATAATCTGAGTTTTAAAAATTATTGATTTAATTTGCACCCTACCTTTCTACCAAGAACATGGCTTATAATCATAAATAAAACTTGAGTGAAACAAGAATAAAACAATACATTTAAATACAATAAAAATACAGCGGATACAGAATGAAAATTGCACTCAACCCAATAGACCTACTTACATGCCAAAGGCCTTCTTAATTTATGGGACAATAGAGAGGAAATACTGCAGTTTGGGAGCAAAGGGAAGGCCATCACCACCAAATATGCCTTTGAAGTATTGAAGGAAGGGCCTCTCCTGAGGATCTTAAAATGGAGACAGGCTGTATTGGAGAAAATGGTCTTTCAGGTAACCTGGTCCCAAGTTGTAAAGGGATAAAAGACACTGAAGAAACCTTTGCCCTTTTTGTGACCCTAGATGCAGAATAAACTCTGCTTGATAAATCAAACTGTCTTGGCATATGAATTGCCAAGAATTATCTTGGTGTGATTATCTAATTTTGAATGTATACACTGTTTGGTCTCCCTTCTGATTTTATTCTCCCCCCTCCCACTTTCCCTCATATGATCATGAGTTTTGCATTTGTGTTTGACTTAACAGATCAACCGTTAAGTAGCATGAAGATTCTGATCCTTGGGAAATTGTCAAAGAACAAGGATGAAATCAAGTCTGCCATTGAAGAACTTGGGGGAAAGGTGACAGCTACTGTGAATAAAGCTGACTTGTGCATCAGCTCACAAAGTGAGTAACTGTCTTTGGTGACATGGAGAAACAGGGAAACTCTACAAAAGAGATGCATTAAATCTGATTGGGTTGGAAAAGGAAAGAGAGCTTGCTATTTGGCTCTGTATCAGAATGAAAACAATGGTTGGCTAATGTGGGAAGGCCAAGAAAATGCAAGCACCTTTCTTTTGACAGTTGAATGCAACATGGATAGGAATGGCTTTAACTGTGTATACCTATTCTTCGATTTGCTCTGATGTTCCTTAATCTATCCTGCATGTGCCAGTGAAGTTGATATCTTTTCTTACCTTCTGTTAGCCGTTTCGAGTTTTTCCCATGTGGGACAATTGAATTTCATTGTTCCTGCTCTGTTCTTTTTCTTAAAATGGTACATGCTCTCTAGGACAAACATGTAACATTGTACCACCTTGGTGCATCAGGAGCAGAAACTGCTTCTCTTCAGGGTATTCACCATGCTGCCTTCTAGGATACCTCTGCCATCGAACATTCGGCACAGCATATCCATTGAGTATGCTCAGTCCTCATTCAGATATGTGGGTTTGAATGTGTTTTCTCCTCTGTTTCCTATTAATATGGTTTTTTGCAAACATGGAGGATCCCCTATGTTTGTTGATCCCTCCCTATTCTGGATGGATGGATCTCTTTTACGCTCAGGGAATGAGCTTGCTATTGTTTTAATGACTGATTCCTCCAGTGTGATGACTGTGGGCATCCATGCCCCTGAAGGCCTCTTCGCATCTGCTGGGATTCCTGCCCTTTCTGATTTTCATTTTAATTGCTTTTTTTCTCAGCTGAGAGACTGATGGAAAAGGAATGGGCTGCTCTCCACTGTTGCCTTTGTTTGAATTCAAAATAAGATAAAATCTTGATACAGTGTATAGAATTGGATGTACACTCTGTGATTTTATTTGTTTAATTTCTGTTCCACTCAATAGCTGAAATTCTCTAGCCCTTGAGGGTATTTTTATAGTACCATCCTTTGGCAAAGTTATCGACCAAGATAATAAAACAACAATATGTAGGATTATGCTGAGATGAAAAATGGGAGGGTGAGGGGGTTCTCACAGCAGTCTGGCTGAAACCTTTAGTCTAATTTGACAAGACTTCTCCTCTGGCCTTGAAGGGCCCTGAGATTAAGCCCGCATAAGATAAAGCATGCAGGTGGTTTACCTAGTTTGGGCAGGCCTATCTTCAAGAAATGGAGTTTTTCCACACAACTAGTGCGTGCGTGCGCGCACACACACACACACACACACACACAAAGTAGATGGTTTTTTTGGCACCTGCCTTTTGATTACACTGATTCTTACAAGGTGGGTTCCAATGGATTATAGTAATGCATAGACACCAATCCCAAACCCCCACCACTTTTGAATGCTTGGAGTGGATGGAACCAGAGTATGGCCTGCAGTCCCAGGGCCCTTGACTGCTGAAGGTGAATGTTCTTTTCAGCAGGGAGGAGGGAAACAAGATTCCTGCAATAGCAGCTGCTTCTGCTTTGGTTAGCATAGTGGACAGGCAGGGTAAGACTTCTGTCTGAAACCCTAGAGACTGATTGCCAGTCTTTATAGACGATTCTGGATGGAATGGTCCAAAGGCCTGACTTGCCACAAGGCAAATTCCTGTGTTTGATAGTGCTGTATTGAACCTAAGATCTGAAAAGCACACACAGTATGCCTCTGAGCACCAGTTGTTGAAGAAGATCCTGCTTACTGGCATCCCTTGGACATTGGGTTGATCACTATGGGAACAGACTGTGGGACTTGCCAGGCCTTTGACCTGATCTAGCAGGGCCCTTCCTATATTCTTACTTTTATGGGCTTCTCCCCAGTTCAGGATGCTTTCTGATGCTTAGGTTCATAAGATGGACAGCTTTCCATGCTCCTCTCCTCTCTCTCTTTTAGAGGAAATTGAAAAAATGAACAAGAAAATGGAAGAAGTGAAGCAGGCCCAGGTGCGTGTGGTTTCAGAAGAGTTCCTTCAGGCCTTGAAAAACACCAGCAAGGGCTTTCAGGAGCTTCTGCCACTTCATATTCTGTCTCCCTGGGGTACAGAAGTAAAGCAGGAGCACAAAGAGGTGCCTGAGAGAGGAAAATCTGGTGGACACCCAAACACGAAAAGCACTGGAAAGAACAAGGAAGAGCAAGGTGAGCTAAAAAGTGTGAAATGCATGCCATCTTCGGTGCAGGCCTCCATCATGTGACCTTGCTTTGCAGCTTTGTTGCATTTAGGGTGGGGTTCCTTTTGGCCAGTTCCAAGGCCCATTGAAACTAACACGTTTATTGTGGCATAAACTCTAAGGCTGAAGTCCACTTCACCAGATGTCTGAGTTACTGGGCTATGACTTGATTTAGTCTGATAAAACCAATGATCTATTTTGAAAATGCACCTCATAATGTTACAGTATAATAGTGGGGTTAGACCACAGCTAGCTAGTGGGAAAACAAAATCAGAAATGGCAAGAAAGCTCTCCAGTCATGAAAAGGAAGCAAATGAGAATGTCACAACTTTTTTTTCCCTTCCCGACAAGTGGTGCAGCCCACAAAGAAGAAGGTTTTCTCCAAAATGCTGGGCAAGCAAAGCACACAGTACGCAGGCATTCTGTGTCTTTCTCACTTGTTTTTCCTTTCATGGTAGATATAGATTCCCCAGGTATATATACTCTTCTGTGCAGCTTTTTAGCCCTAAGGCAGAGTTTTCTTACCGATAATGAATCCAGCCAGGATAATTTTTCTCTTTCCTTTATATAGTTTCCATTGTTTTTCAGCTGTGACCAGAAAATTGCTATATTTTGGGTCATATTGAAAAGAGATGTAGGCTGCAACCTCATTAAATAAAGGACAGTGGTTCACTGAGTATGGCAGAGGCTATGGCTGCTGGGTTCTGTCTGTGCAGTAATAGGACCATTCAGAGTCACGGGGCTGCGTTCTTTCCATGCTGGCTGCAGCTGTGAGGTTGTGAGATCAATCTCAGGGCCAGTGTTGAAGGGGCGGGGAAGGGAGGAGAGGGGCACCGCTGTCCTGCAAGGAATGCCGGTGGCGCCAATGGCTCCCCTTCTTGTGAGCTGGTGTAATAGGATCTCTGTGTTTGAGAGTGCAGGGAGAGAACCAGGGCAGTCTTTGCTGTTCCCACCCTTCGTTGGATGTGTGTGAATCCAATTTGGGTTTGGAAGGTTACAGGCATCCCAACTGGATTGTACCTTAAAGACTGTAATCAGACATACATAGAATTGCCCTTTAAATTTGTACATGTGTAAAGTCATTTCTGAAGCAAGAAATTTTTTTTAAGGTGATGCACAAATCTTACCATCTTAGCTTGGAGAATGCCGCCGCTTAAGGTGGTTCTGGAGTGTTTATAAACATCTGTATTAAATTTATGTATGAATGTAAGGGCTATATTGCATGATTTATATTAAAAATTTAATATACATTTTTAAACTGTGCATGCCTACTCGGGGAACATTTTTTAGTTAAACAGCTTTGGGCAACAGTGAATACTTACGATCTTTTCCCATATCTTATACAGGGACAAGCAAATCTGAAAAGAAAATGAAACTGACGGTTAAAGGAGGTGCTGCTGTGGATCCAGATTCAGGTGATTTTGGAATCTTTCCACTATCCTGTGAACAAGCACTTTCTGCTGATTCTGGAACTGGGAATGTCTTTAAGTTTTAAATGTCTCCATCTGTTAAACATCCAGCTCAACACAGTTTGCCATGTCTTTTTTTTTTTTTACTTCATGTGCCCAGTGTACAGATTCCCACTCCAGCTGCCCTTTGACGTTTCCAGTGTATTTTGAGGAAGGCATCTAAGAAACCTGTTTGAAAACAATGAAATAATTTGAATATTGGCAAGATGCAGTTCTCCCTGGTACTAGTTTAGTAACACCCCTCCCCCATTTTTTTAATAGGTTTGGAGGATTCTGCTCACGTCTTTGAAAAAGGTGGTAAAAACTTCAGTGCTACCCTTGGCCTAGTAGATATTGTCAAAGGGACAAATTCCTATTACAAGCTGCAGCTGCTAGAAGATGACCGAGAAATCAGGTTAGTTTGTCTTCCTTTCTAAATAGGAGTTGTAGCTTGGCTGCAGCATTGAGGTTTGCATTTGTAGGGTTTGTTCTCTGTTTCAGTAGCGGGTTTGGAAGCTAAACAGACCCTGATATTTTCTGGGTTGGATCCAGGTTTAGTCATGCTAGAGTAGAGTACTGAAATCAGTAAAGTGTTCATGATTAACTTATGCCGCATTGATTTCTGTGTTTCTACTGAAAGTGTGACTAAGTTTGGGTCCAGTCCAGTGTTATTCTTACTTACTTGAAATACTAGAATTTCACAGAAAGTTATTTGCATAACTTTCAGCTACACTGCTTACTTCTCTCCTTCTCTGATTACATGGAATTGTATGTCATTTGAGTATAACACTTTATACATCTGGTGACCCAGGTTGTAATCTGTGAAAGCTTGTGTGAAAATATCTGTGTTATGATTTCAAGATAGTCATAATAGTTTGTAGAAGCAAGAAACAAAGTCTCCTGTGGTACCTTAAAGACTAACAAATTTATTCCAGCATAAGCTTCATCTCAAATTGCAAGAGGGAACAGGGCAGATGTAAATTTTTTGCAGGGTGGGGATGGAAAAGCAGAAAGTGCAGAGCATACTGATTACCTTAACATAACTATGAATAACACATAGTCATTATCATACTAGGAAGCCCTTTGTCATTTCTGAAACAATCTTATCTGTCTTGGGTGATGTCTAGGAGAGGTACTTTAATTGCCTCTGCCTTTGTTCAGCATCCGCCTTTCTTCAACATCATTGTTCTGCATGCTCAGAAGGCTGAAAGCATGCAGTTTCTGTTTTGGAGAGAAACACCCACTGAAAATATATTTGCCTAATTTAACTTTTTGTGGGTGGGTACAGGAATACTGCTTTTGTTCTGTGGCAGTGTTGGTTAATTTTGGAAATTTAGTTGATCAAATCATCCTTCACTTGCGTAACAGGCTGCAAAGGATAGTGCTAAGGGTGCAAACCTTTACAGACTTCCCAGGAGTAGCAATGAACTCAGTGGGATTTAGGAGCTATCATATCTCTTTGAGGAGATATGAATAGGATTGCTCTGTAAATGTCTGTATTGCCAAAATAAATCTCCGCACAGATGCTTCTTTAGGAATAGTGAAGCAAATGTAGCTAATAAATTAAAACTGAATTGTTTGTTAAATGAAAGCTTGTTATTAAAACAAAGGTCATATTTAATATTTGCTTATTCCTTCATTGTTAGCAATAACATACTAGAACTAAAATAACTTTTAGTGCTTACCTGCAACTGCTTATGAGTAAAATGAATCCCCCCTGGCTAGACCTTTGCTCTGCTGGATTTTACTGAATTGTGGTCCCTTTAAAACAAAAATTGTCTCCCATTTTTTTTGGTTTGGGCTGAAGTATTTAAGACATGGTGTCATTCAGAATCAATGTGTCCATGCTTGCAGTAGAGGGGGGATGGGCTAATATGGTATGTGTTTTGGCATTGCCCTGTGTGTATTAGAACAGCCTTGCCCAACTCGGTGTTTTCCAGGTGTGTTAGGCTGTAACTCTTAGCCTCCCCGGGCTTCTGTTCCAAAGGGAACGTACTGCAAGGGATTGTAGTCCAGCACATCAGTAGACTACCATGTTGTGGAAAGAAGGCTGCATTTAGAACTGCATCCAGGGTCTGTGTGGCTTGGGGTTCACAGATACACAACAGGCCCCAGCATCCTTGTAGGGGATGGTAAAGGAACACAGAGCCTTCTTCCCAGCCCACCACCCACCCCTGGGATTCTGATAGCAAGTCTCTTCTCCTTGCTGCCAGGAAACCAGTGATTCTGAGGCATTGAGTTAGAAAGCACAGGCAGTGGTGGGGTTTGGGTACTCTTGTCGGGACTGTAGGAAAGTTCTCATCTTGGTACCCTCAGCAGTTCAAGAAAGGCCAGTTCATTGCTTCTCTTGCTGGGATTGTTTTGCTTTGTTTTTCATTTCAAGGAGGAGCAGAAAAAGGCTCCGCTTAAGTGAGGCAGCAGTTTCCAAACATGGAGCCAGGGGAGAACTGTTTGCATTCCTCGGGAAATGTGTTGAATAAAGGCTCCTGTGCTCCCAAAGCAGCAAACCCAGAGGAGGCTGACTGTTGTGGGCCTGCATGAGTTAGGGCTCTTCCTTTGCATGCTTTAAATCAGCCTTTGTGAGTGGCATTGGATCATTCCCAAAGCAGAGCTGCAGCCAAATGGTCTGCTCTTGAAGGAGGCTGTTCCTGGTATCTCTGTGGGTCACTTTGCTGGGTGTCTCCCTTTGCAATATGGGAAGAGACAGAACATCCAGAATGGAGAGACTTCTGCAGATACAAGGTAAGAAGGAGAACCTGAGACCAGGAAGAATGAAACATGTCTCCCAATTTCCTCTGGCAGGAAAAGGCTCTCTCGCTGGAAAGTTAGAAACTTGGACTCATTGAAGAAGTGCTGTGCAGCAGCTACATGGGAGCCTGGGGCAGAAATGTGGCCAGCAGCTGAGCTGATCGAGACAGACCCTCCCTGAAGGGCTGGCTCTGTGGATAGGCAAAGTGCTGCAGCTGCTGGAGGGAGGCTGGAAGCAGCCAGAGCTGCTTTGTGTCCCATGGCCTGCCCCTTCTAGCATGCTGCATTCAGGTGCGGGGGCAGATCTCCAGCTGCCCGTGCAGTTGGCCTCTGTATCTTATCTAAGGCAGCAAAATGTCTTGAGCTGGCCCTGGCTCCCTAGGAAAGCGTATCACTCCAACTTCAATGGATTTCAGTACTTATTTTCTGAACCCTCAAGCAGGGTCTCTGGGTCGGTCGGTTGGTCGGTCTGTCTCTCTGTCTCTGTCTCTCTCTCTCTCTCTCTCTCTCTCTCTTTCTTTCTTTCTAACATTTATATCCTGTCCAATACCAAGGGTCTCAGGATGGCGATAAATAGGCAGCACACATAAATAAAATATAAATCTATGATAAAACCATCATTAAAACATTAATTCTTAAATGTAAGGAAAATTAAAAGGTTTTGGTCTGCTGCTGTAATGAAATAAGCATCAGTGCCAAGAGCACTTCCCTGGGGAGCAGGTTCTGAAGAAGCCGGGGTGCTACCACAGAAAAGACCCTTCTCTGGGTAGCCACTCTTTTGATCTCCTTGAAAGTGGGGTCCTGAAAAAGGACTTCAGACAAAGATCTTAGGGTTGGGCAGGTGTACCTTTCTTGGTACTGTGCCTAAATCTACGAATGCTTGAGGGACTTCCATTCAGCTTTTTTCTGAATGTCTGTATTCCACTTTGTCCTAATCAAACTGTGTAAAGGGAGCACTGGGCAGATGGCTGCTGTTCAGCTGCTTGAAGTGGGTGGCACATGTGGGCTACGGGAGTCAGCTCAGTACTTTGTGTAAGCCTGTTGCCCCTGGGACAGCCTGGCCAGATTAATCCAAACTCTGTATGTCTCCCTTTTGCTTTTAGATACTGGGTTTTCCGCTCTTGGGGTCGTGTGGGGACAGTAATCGGAAGCAACAAGCTGGAGCAAATGCCATCTAAAGAAGAAGCCATTGAACATTTCTTGAATTTGTATGAGGAGAAAACAGGCAACTCATGGCATTCCAAAAATTTCACCAAATATCCCAAAAAATTCTATCCTCTGGAAATAGATTATGGTCAGGTAACTTGATGGTCCTTTTCAAAAAGAAGAAGCCATTTGCCCAGTTCATGCAAAGAAAAAAATTTTGGGTTGTTTAGGAGGATACCAAACAGCAGATATAGGTTCCACTACAGCTCAATCCTGTGCATATTTATTGACTCTGAAGTGAGTAAAACTCAATAGGGCTTAGTTGCTAGTAAACATGTATAGCCAGGATTCACATGCAGCTAAGTCACTGTTCCCTCTTCTGCCACAGCTGCTCTCCTCAGATGGTCTTCAACTGTGTGCCTAGTTAAGATGGATATCAGGGAAACTTGCAAGACTGGCCTGCAAAATTTAAGCTCTGTTATTGAAGCAGTAATACTCTGCTATCAGGATTGTTCTGCTTTGACACTCTTGAACACCAGCTTAGCAGCAGATGGTTGGAGGGTGTGTACTGGAGCTGCTTGAGATGGTGATATATAACAGTTAATATGTGCATGCCAGAATCACCTTTGAATAATGCTGACAATTTAGTTCTTGATTTTTTACATGTCTCAATAGATATATAGCAAGGGTACAAAATGTTGTTGTTTCTTTTTTGGAAGGGCTGTGCAAATAGTTTTATCTAGGGCAGATGGTGCCCCCACTAAAAATACTTTACCAAGTCTGACTGCCCTTCATCCCCACTGTTACCACCACCCCATATTGCAGGTAGCAACCAGAAAGGGGTAGGGACAGACACTGGGACTCACATACGGGCTGGAGGTTCTGCATCCTGATGTACGGTGTTTGGTCAGATGTTCAGAACATGTGTGAAAAGCAACTAGTCCTGCAAAAAGAGATCTGACACTTTTCTAAGCATTGGATCCCTACATGTGGGGAAATGAATTTAGATGCTGGTGGAAATCAGTTTGTTTCTTTAAAGAAAATAACATTAAGCCTTAACTCTTCCAAGCTGGTGAACCTAAAATAACATGGTAAAATAATCACCATCATCTCTGTACTGCCCCATAGCCTGTAGGGCATGCTGGGCAGTGAACACATAGAGAACAAGTTTGAAACATATAACAGTAAAATGGATGATCCCAGAAGAATAAAACCAGATTTTAATTTAAATGCTGGAGGAAAGTCTAAGATCTGTAAGCTCTGTTGTGAACTGCATGGGTTCTCTCTCTTTCTCTCTAGCCAGGACAGTTCAATTAAAATGCATTTTTGTTGCCTAATCTTTGCACCTATGTTGTTCTCACATACATGCTTTTCCTCATGTTAGGATGAAGAGGCAGTGAAGAAACTGACAGTGAGTGCAGGCATCAAATCCAAACTTCCCAAGCCAGTCCAGGATCTCATTAAGATGATCTTTGATGTGGAAAGCATGAAGAAGGCCATGGTGGAATTTGAGGTTGCTAATCATCCCATTCATGTTGTCATTTTGTTAACCGTAAGGCAGTGGCAGCAATGCCTGCTTATAATTGCAGCCTGGCAGCCTGATAATTCATGGTGATTTTCCATTGGCAGAAGAAAGGTAGCTGCACATGTGAACTGTATGTGGTTTAAACCAGGGACAGATAGACTTTAGGCTTCTGGGATCTAAATTTTTGTAACTAGAAATCTAAAGCCCATCAACTAGAACCAGGTACAAAATAACTGCACTTTGAATTAAAGCATTCTGAGGGCAGTGATCAAAACTAAATAGAACTTATAGTCCTTCTACACAAAAATCTGTTCAGGTTTATTCAAGCTTTGTTCATTTCAACACTATAATGTGGGTGGGGGGAGCTTGTAGTCATTTTGTAGCTATTTGTTAAACCATTGGGCATTAGCTGCAGTGGGGCCAGGTTTGCGGGAATGCAGTACTAGCACTTTCTGATCAGCAGGGATGTTAACCCTCAAAACTTAGCTATGCATTTCATGGTAAACTAGTGGCAGCAAGATGAATTTTCTGAGCCAGATTGTTCCGCCTTGACATACTGCACAATAGTTTTGGGTCTTGAATGAACAATTAAGACCCATTCACTTTCTCTCACTTTATAACTACTGGTGAGAGGTCCTTACCAATCTACTACAGACTAGCTTGTCATCTCCCAGTAGTTCAAAACTGCCTTCTGCCTATTCCTGTTCTAAATTTGCTTAGATCTAGTAAAGCTTTGGCTGGTTTCTGTGGCAGTAAATTTGACATTGACCAATTTTATTGTGCAAAACCTTTGGGCTTTCTTGTGTCTAAGGAAGGGAGGATGTTTATTGATACTAATCCAGTTTTTGTAGCTTACTACAGTCAGTGTAGCATTCAGTAAAACTGATTTACATCTTGAATTGAACAGCTAAAAATCCCCCCCCCACACACACACACACAGATGGCCTCCACACAACTTTTCTCTGGTTTGAGAGGATTTACAAGGAACTGGATTTTTAGACTCCTTAAACAAGCAACTCCCTACTGTGGAAGTAAAATCCTCCTGGAATATTATGCCCTCAGAGGACATTAAGCAGACTAAAGAAATTTGTCACAGGCAAAATCAAATAAGGTAAGGTTGAATCTGGATAAAGGTTCTTATCAGTTGGCTCCTGTCATGCCAGGATGCATTGATATCAGTAACAGATGCACTGTGAATAATCCCTGTAATGATAACAAATTCATTCTGAAGTGGAGTGTCTACTGCATGAGAAGTGAAGTGTTATGGTCAAATTAGCATATCTACTTCCTGGGGATGGTGGAGGGCAGGAAGGCCTGGAGGAGTGTTGTCCATGGGGAAGCAAGCAAGATTTTTTTTTCGATTTTTTTATATCCTGCCTTTTCCTACAAAGGGCTCAAGGCAGCTTACATCTCCTCCTCCATCTTATCAGTTGGCATTAAAATGCAACAAAACCGGACAGTGCTAGTTACCTAACAGTCGCCCTTTACAAAACATGGTTGAGTGTACAAATACAATCACTGTCAGTAGCATCCTGAGGGTTGCTGCTGCCCCCAGCTGGTGCTCTGGAGAGCTGCTCTCATGCCATGGCATTTGCCACAGCAAGAAGGCTGCCAGCAAAGCACTCTGGAGCAGCTGCCCACAGGAAAGCTGCATTAACTGAAGCGGGTGGCTGAACTGCCTTTCTCAGAGGAGTGCTCTGAGAGGAGGCTTGCTGTTTGTCTTCAATTAGCCATAGTCCTCCATCTTTGTACTGGAATAGGCAATTGTGGTTTCCCTCTGCAAACATGCCAATGCCTATCCATATTCTCTTTGTGTAATATGCTACTTCAGTTAAGTGGCCTTTTCTGCAATTGGTCTTCTAAATGTTTTAACATATAATGAAGTCCTGCTTGAATTATTTCCACTTGTCTCATTGTCAGATTGACCTCCAAAAGATGCCTTTGGGGAAGCTAAGCAAGAGGCAGATCCAGAGTGCATACTCCATACTTAATGAGGTGCAGCAGGTGAGCATAAAAGAAAGAGCTCTTGTAAGAGAGAATTCCGAAGGCATTCTGCGCTGAGGGTTGATTGCATTCTTAGCATTCCCCCCTCTATAAATTAGATTTCATTTTGTAACACTCTATTTAATTAAAGGAGCATATACATCTTGACTGTAATGAAAGTGTTGCATTATTCCATTTGAGTCCTTCTTGCTGGAACAGGTTGTTAATGTTAATCAGAATGGTGTGTTATTTGATGCTAGAGTGACTTCTGCACAGAGAGGGCAGCAGAATCGTTCTAATTTGGTTCTTCTAGTATTTAAGGTCTTTTAATGCATGGTAGGGAAAGCGGTTAAAGTTAAGCTAGTTTAATACCTTTTATAAACTGATGTTCTTGTTGAGTTTGGCAGCACCATGCCCAAATGTTTAGAATTATAGAGAAGAAGGGGCCAAGAAGGCCACTGGGTTCCACCCACCTGCTTACTGCAGGACTCCAATTAAACCATCACTCTCAGATGGCTTTCCAGTTGCATCTTATGGTGGTGTGGATCACTATGCAAATTGAACTTGAACCCAGATTTATACCTGGTTTGTTACTTGCCTGTTCTGAACATGAGAGAAGTCTTATGCAAGTATATTAAGAATTCTAGTTATTAAAGCTATTTTGGATCTGTTTCTCTAAAGAGTTTACCCTTGTAAAATGGAAAGAAGAATTATGCATGCTGTTTTGACATACTTGGAAGAAAGCTGGGATATAAATGAAGTAAATTTGATCAAAGGTTGAACGGAGTTAAAAATAGATGAGAATGCCCCTGCATAACTGGGGATCTTGGATCACCTCATCTTTTAGGGCTATGTTACTGGTTACCATACTGGTTTATGGGTCCATTTGGAATGCTGTAGAACTTGCAGGCACCACCACTAGTCATTGGGGTCTGTCCAGTGACACTGTGGCTTGCTTCTGAGTACAATGGTCTCTGTCTATCTCATGAAAAGAATTTCATGGGATTTCAAAGACTAAATTCTACTGTTTGAATGCAGATTTCAAGCTAGTTGACAGGAGCTCCACAGGATTGGAGTTTATCAGAATACATGATGAAATTCCAATTATTTTGGTACACATGAGCCTTAATTTAGGGCTCTCAGAAAGGCCCCAAAAACAATAATCAAAATAATTCAGTAAAGGTTTCTGTTAGAAATGAATAAAGTGGAGGATATTCATTACATTCCAGTTAAAAGACTCGTAACTATTCCAGATTGTAAACCATGATTTCTCACTAAAGTCTTCTAAGACTCAATCCCAAACACACTGGTAAGCAAGCTCCATTGAGCTCAGTGGGATTTCATAAGAACATAAGAGCCCTACTTGATCAGCGGAGGGGTCCATCTACTCCAGCCAGCTAGCTGTGGAAAACTCACAAGTAGGACACGAGTGCAAGAGCGAGTGCATATTTCCCAATGACTAACGCATAGGCATATTGCCTCTGATATTGGAGCTGTCATATAACCATCCAGACGAGTAGCCATTGAAAGCCTTCTCTTCCATGAATTTTTCTGATCCCCCTTTAAAGGTATCCAAATTGGTAGCTGTTGCTGCATCTTGTGAAAGTGAATTCCGTAGTTTAACCATGAGCTATGTGAAGCATTACTTCCATTTATCTGACCGGAGCCTCCCACCAATCAGTCAGCTTCTTAAGATGACCCAATTGGGTTTTACTGTTAGGTGTAATTTTGTGCACTTCTATCATGCCTCCTTTTGCTTGGCCCTTCCCTCTGATAAACAATTCCAGATAATGTAATAGGGTTGTGGCTTGAGCCTCTAAATCATTTTTGCTGCCCTCTTCTCAACTTTATTTATTTATTTATTTATTTATTATTTATTTATTAATTAAAACATTTTTATGCCGCCCCATTCGCCGAAGCCTCAGGGCGGCTTACAACAAACTTTAAACATTGTCTTTTATTAGGTGCAATACCCAAAACGCCACACAGTATTCCAAGTGTGGTCGCAGTGTAGGTTTGTATAACAGCAGTATAATATTGGTGCTTTTGGTTTTGATTCCTTTCAAGAATACTCCTTCTATTCTATTACTTCAAAGTAAACACAGGTGCATTTTCTTTGTCTTAACCATGGCTCTGTAGTGAGCTGTAATAGAAACTGTAAATTTTATGTTTTAAAAAAATAAAACACAACTTTCATGGTGCAACCTGGTATGTGTTCATTTTGAAACTAACTCCATGGATTTCTATGGGACTTCTTCTCAAGTCAGTATCCCTGGGATTGCAGCCTTAATGATTTTGAAGTATTAGCACAACTTTCTCCAGGGCGATGCCCTGCTGGTGTGTTGGACTGCAGCTTCTATCATCTCTACCCAGTATGGCTCCAGGTTGGAGACACCTTTCAGAATGTTTGATCTACTAAAGTTTAAACTGCTAGTCTTAGCTAGGTCTGTTTTTTCTAAATCACATAACTCAGGCGCATGAGCATGTTGCTGCAAAGGCTTTTTAAAAATGTTGCTGCTTTTCTTCTTTGAGTAGGCAGTTTCTGATGGTGGTGCAGATGCACAAATACTGGATCTCTCCAATCGCTTCTACACTCTTATCCCTCATGACTTTGGGATGAAGAAACCTCCTCTCTTAAACAACGTAGACTACATTAAGGTACTGATGAGGAACGTCAAACGCCAGCTGCTGAATTTGGTTTTCACACATGGGTACTTAAACACAGAAATCTTATAAATCATGTCGCAATATACCTATTGCAGGACAGAAAGACAAGGCTGGTAATGGTACACAGTATTTACTTTCTAAGGGTGCAATCCTATGCTCATTTAGACAGAAAAGTGCCATGCGAGTCCCCGCATGCTCCAGCCATCCATACTTAACGATTACATCGTAAGCCACATTAGGGCAATGGGTGGAGCTGTTGTTTTTCATTTATTTAGTGTCTATACCACCCAGTAGCTGAGAATCTGTGTGGTTTACAAGATACCCAAAAATGCAGTATAAAGTACAAAGTATTAAAAACACCATTAAAAGTTCACCATGCAAACATTTAAAATCAAATTAGTTGAAATTAGACTAGAGAGTTCAGGTGCAAATCCTTGCTCAGCCTTAAACTTCACTGGGTGATTTTGGGCCAGGCTCCATATATCACCCTCGCTGAACCACACAGGATTGTTATGAGGATAACTGGAGTGGGGAGAGGGAGGAAGCCATGGCCACAGCCCCCAGCTCCATAGACGAAATCTGGAACAACGTAGGAAGCTGCCTTGCACTGAGTCTTACTACTCGTCCATCAAGCCCAGTATTGCCCGGTTCATCAACACTGGCTGATGCTGCTCTTCTTGCGAATTTAGCATTCTTTTTGGAAGTATGGTAGAACTGTAAAGTTCAAAATGATATTTTGCATGAAGACATCCTAAGGCCATAAAATCTGTATATTACCTACAATTTATTTTTACTTGTAAATTTAACACCCCCTCGCCCCCCGGCCCCCCAAAAAAAAGATTGAGGAGAAAGAAGGAAGCAAAAAATGGCGATTGCATAGGTTTGAATGTATCAGTTTCAGTGCATGCATATGAAGTGGGTGTGCTAGATATCTAAGTATCCAATCAAGGGTGGTGTCTGGGCTACCCATTCAAATTTAAACAATGAAATAACTTTAATCCATTACTTTATGGAAGGTGAGCATTTATTCTCACCTTCATTTATGTTGAAATAAGAGTCTTTTAGCAGTCAGATGGGTGTGGTAGCCAGTGCATTGCCAAGTATAACCACAATTTTTTGTTTATCCAGTCCAAAGTGGAGATGCTGGACAATCTGCTTGACATTGAGGTTGCCTATAGCCTACTCAGGAGTGGTGGTCAGGATGGCGATAAAGATCCGATTGATGTGAATTATGAAAAGCTCAAAACAGATATCAAGGTAAGAAAGGTGGTAGGAAAGAAGGCTGTCATATATGATGCAAAGGTCTTCTTCCTGATCCCTGTTTAATTTCCAACTTAAGCAGGTAGGGTTTGATGGGTAGATCTGAGGAGTGCATTTTGTTACCTGCATAGAGATACCGGGCAGGTGTAGCAATTTCAGCCTGTAGTTGTGTCTAGTGAACCTCGCCCCATTCTCACCCAGAAGCTTATGCCCATTCACTTCATTCATGACTGACAAAAAGTAGCTTTCAACATTTTTGTCCTGAATGCTAAGCTAACAGTTTTGCCTTCTGTCATTTCATTTCATTTTATGTTTTGTTCTATATATCTTTCCAGACCTGTGATTATACAGTTTCACATTAAATGTATTACATTCAACATCTCATAAGTGCAAGGCCAGTTCAAGAAATTTAGCCGTTCTAAAAGTTGCATATTTATTAATATCACACAGTAAGAAACATGATTTTTCAAAGGATGATTGTCCCTTCATCCAGGCCAACAAGGGGAAGGGTATGCATTTTCCTAACATCAAAGTAGACATCACTTTCTAAACTAAAATGAGTAATGTCTTCCAGAATTAAAGATTTACAGAAAAAACTCTGCCTTCCTTGGGAATACCATTATGGTGCCCCCATACAAGCTGCCGAAGGAAGTACATTTAGCCTTGCCAGGAGAGTAAATCAACCAAATATTTTGGAAGGTTAAAAAAGGAAGCTACTAAATGCTTCTACATCTTATTGAACAACTTGAAATGTCAGCCATTTGGGACTACATTTCAATATCAACAATACTAACTATGCTCTGTTCTAGCCCAGAGACAGCAAACAGATATAGAAAACCTGATACTTGCTATAGTGGAAAAAATCTTTTGCTTACAGAGGTTTTAAAAAGGCTAGCTTCCTATGGCAGTTAAGCTTCCTTTGGGACTTTTCTGGCCATGTGGCTTTTCTTAATAAACACGATTGCTTTTGAAATAAAAGTTCAGAGAGTTCTCTTCGGCATGGATTGAAGTCTCTCCTCAAAGATTTTATAACAGTGCTATCTACATTTACTCACAGTGGAATTTTACAGCTGAGAAAAATCATATAGGGTTAGGTTGCACATCTTTGACAGAATCCTGATGATTGTGCCTTAAATGTAGTGAAGAGACCTCCTCATGGCCAGAGCCATTCTAGGTCTTTCCAAGATACAACAATTTTCTGTTTTCTGTTCTTTGGTTTCTTTCTTATTCAGGCTGACTATGGCTGAAACCCTGTATACCCTTATCCGAGAGTATATGAAAACATTGCTAAATTAGTATTTGTAGCATCCTGTTTTGCTTCATTAAGTTTCCAAGATATTTTTTTTCCTTTTAACTTCCTTCATAGGTAGTAGACAAAGACTCAGAAGAAGCAAAGATCATAAAGCAGTATGTTAAGAACACTCATGCTAGTACCCACAATGCATATGACTTGAAAGTCATGGAGGTAGGTTCTGAAGACGTTTGGAATTTAAATCAGTCTCTCTCTCTCTCTCTCTCTCTCTCTTTTCTATCCCATCCCCTACAAACGTCTTGGGATGGCTTACAATAAATAAATAGACTAAAACAAACCCCAGAACATCGACCTTTAATATACCAAAACCCCTGCTAAAATCAATTAAACATTAAAATATTTTCTTTGTTACTTAATGCAGAGTGTTGAATAGCTAATTTTGGTGGTATATGTGTGAACTCACAATAAAGCAATGCAAGCACTTCTCTGATTTGATCTTATCTTACACTGGCCTGCATCTTGGATCTAGTGCAAGCCATGCTTCTTCCTCATACTTAAGGAATAGGAGGTGGGTGTTTAAACTTCCTCCCCAAGACCTGATGCTACAGGTGTGCAGGAGAAAACATTAAATATGGCATCAGACATTTCCATCTATCAAGTTCCCCTTGCCAAAAACAGTCTTAAAAACCCTAACTTTCTCAAAAGAATGTCTGAATTTAAAGTTTTTATCTACAAAATATGAATTTGTGTGTGTGTGCGCGCGTGCGCGCATCTGTCCGTCTGCACATATGAATGGCTACTCAACACAGTTAAGATACATGGTTCTGGGGGCTTTTTACACAACAACTAACAGCATATTCTCTTCTTCCTATGACCCCTTCCAAAGATTTTCAAGATTGAACGGGAAGGAGAAGGTCAGCGTTACAAACCATTCAAAGAGTTACACAATCGTCAGTTGCTCTGGCATGGTTCTCGTGCTACCAACTTTGCTGGCATCTTGTCACAAGGTCTTCGAATAGCTCCACCTGAAGCTCCTGTGGTATGTAAAGCACTGCTTTTCTAACTGTAATGAGGCTGTTGGAAGTAGGTTTCCCCACTTATTAGCCCCCCCCCCATACTGCACAGAGGACTGGGGGACCTTGTTGGAAAGGGTGGGCTGTGGGAGTAGGGGAAGTTCCCCTAGACTTAGGCAGAGGCACCTTCTCCACTAATGAAAGGTGCTCTCGCCTCCTTTGGTGCAATTTCCCTTCAGCCATCCTGCGGCACAGCCCACCTCATTTTGCAGTGTCCTTTGACCTTTTGTGTAAAATTGGGGAGTGAGCTCCAGTAACAAGCTTTTGCCAGTCCTGTCCATTCTGGATCCGACTCCATGTTTGTTACTGCAAACATTATCATTGCAACTTTTCACTGAGAGTGCCTAGTTACTTACAGCAAATAAAAACACAGAAACAATGAACTTAAAAGCAGTAACATAAAATAACAGCAAATAAAAGACAAATGACAAACTGCTTAAAAACAAAAAGTGTCATGGACTATCAAGCAGACATAAACCTACAAAATATTTTATCTTTCTGCTTTTTATTTGCAAGAGGGCCTGATCAAGAATGCACTCTGCCCCTCCTATGAATAATACGTTTTCATCCTTTGAACAAGAGCTTTTCTAAAAAGAAACCTATTCTGTGGTATTTTCTTTGTCACCTAAATCCTGCTTCCTGGAAAACTGATACTCCTTTCTGATGCATCCTGCAGTACATTCCACTCCTCTACCTTGGACTGTTCCTTTCATATTTATAGACTTGCAGGGGTTACCTCATCCCACCCCCAGCTGTGAAGCAGTCACATTTTTTATCAGTCTGTCTGCCAGACCACAGCACACCTCTCATCAAGACCCAGATTACTGAATCAAGAAAGCTGAGTTGCATGCTGCAGGTTGCAGTGAAAATAAATACAACTAAATGCATGGTCACTGCCTGATTTATGATGGTAGGGATATCTTGACTTCCGATGCAGTGATCCATTAGATCTCCAAAAATGAGCAAATCTATCCTCTGTAGCAAGGAATGCTCTTGGGCACAATTTTGTGTTGCCTTGGATTCTATTTATCTTTGTTTTATATACAAGTTATATAGTTTGTTTTCATGTGTTGTCCTTATGTAATCTTTTATTGAATTTGTTATTTATAAAGATCATTTTATTGTTTTTAATTGTATGTATTGTGAGCCATCCTGAGATGCTAAGGCATGTGGTGACAGCATACAAAAGTTTTAAATACATACATACATACATACATACATACATAGTTTCAGCTACATTTCATTAGACAGGGATATGCAGTCAGTTTTTAAGTTCCATTTTCTCATTAGATTTCTCACAGCAATTTTTGAGAAAAGCTGTTTAACAAACTTATGTGTACCAGAAAAACGAACTATACATGAAAATAATCGTAACAGCAATAAAAACTTCATGCTAAATTGATTTTTTTTCCCTTCTAGACTGGCTACATGTTTGGTAAAGGTATCTACTTTGCAGATATGGTGTCCAAAAGTGCCAACTATTGCCACACTTCTCAAACTGACCCAATAGGCTTAATCTTGCTGGGAGAAGTTGCCCTTGGAAACATGTGAGTAACATGTCTTCAAATCTTTATGTAAACTTGCAGTCGAAACCCATAATTTCTAAGTTTCTTAATCCATGATTAGAACTTGATTTATTTTTAAGGCAGTTTTATTCTATATATATATCTATACAGGGCATTATTTGAGAATTAGAAATGTTCATACTGACTTCAACAAAATTCCACTTTTAAAATGTAGTGTGTTGCATTTTAAAGCTGTGAAAAGTAACAAACTTCATTCATTTAAACCTGTTTGTCAACTGTAACTGTGCAGTCAGTATTATCTGCAGAGATCCTATTTTGTTTAAATTTTTTTGAAGTGTGGAATTCTAATTTTCATTTTCTCTGTTTGCTAGGTATGAACTGAAAAACGCTTCCCACATAACCAAGCTACCCAAAGGAAAACACAGTGTTAAAGGTAAAAACTTGGTCAGAGAGAGACAAACTGCAGTATCCAAGGCTGGGGTTGAGCTTTCGAATAGGTTATTTAAGCCTTGTGAGAAAAAGAAATGCCTTACTATGTACCTTTCAGTGATTTCTCTAATTATTCAATTTAATATGGTCCTGATTTAATATGACCTCTCTGCTTGACAGTACTTGCTGCTGCTGGATTTCATTTTTATACTGCCCAAAACTCTCTGGGTAGCTCACAACATAGTCATTTTCTGTTGAGAGCAAATCAGCTTTAACTGAAGACATGACAAAAATGGAAAAGTAATACTATTAACACATTAGAGCTAACACATCAGATGTGGCAAATTGAATGCAGAAAAATCCAGGCTTGAATCCCCTGCAGGCTACAATGATTGCTGGGTATCCTCCATCTGATCACTTTTTAATCTGAAAGTAAAAAGAAATAAGAATATACCATAACTCAACACTCTTCTTTATTAGACAAATTCCCCAAAGTATTTAGCCTAATAATTAAATATTTATTAGTCTAGCTCAAAGGTCACGGAATAGCATGCAAGTTTTTGAGTTCTTCAAAAATCTAGATCAGGCTAAGAGGCAAGTGGAGAGGAAAAAGGTGCCAGAGTGTCTGCACTGAGATAGACTTAAGGTGGGACGTGGGAGGAAGCTGCAGGCACTCAAATGAGGCTTTACCAGCTGCTGTGATGGTTTCAGGTTGTGGCTAGGACAGTCTCTAGGATGAAAGACAATCCATGGTTGAGCCCCTGCTTTTGAAAATATAAACACCAGCTGTTACTTGTAACTGTCTGTCTCCATGCTTAGATAAAACATACACATTTCAAGAGAGGAGGAAAATAAAAGCTTCCCTTTTTAGACAGAGGTGGAAATAACTAAAAACCAATCCAAGTGAATTTTGCATGGACTAATTAAATAATGGTTGCAATTTAATAAATCAGTCCTAATTGCACTAACTAGGGAGCAAGACCAGTTGGAAACAGCAAGGCTTTCCTCCATGCAAACCTGCACATTTTTTTCACTGCAAGTGTCTCTTTGAACAATTTTTGCTATAATCCATTGTACTCATGTTGAATAGTGCTTAAAGTGCTTGATCAGCAGCTTCCATGATAGGTGAAAAATTCCTTTCCAAATGCATGTGGAGACCTTGTGTGTTTGTGTGGTTTATTTACGGTATACGCATGTGAAGAGATGTAGTGGTTATCTACTAAGATTACAGCCCTAGTCAGGCATGCCACAGCTGAAGATAGCAAACCCATCAGGGAAGAGAGCTCTGTCCCTTGACTTTGTGAAGAGGAGTGATCTGAAACACTGAAAAATCTATGTTGAATTGTGTAGAGGTTCTCATCTTCAAAAAGTTGCCCGGCACATGTAGAGTACAATGAAAAGAACAAGGATGGAGAGCTTAGTTCATATGCTTTTGCTCCTCATGTATTTACAGCCTCAGATTTGAAGCACCTGAACAGGACTTAGATTGGCTGGGTAGTCATTCAGATTCTGTCATAAATCTCTGGGAGCAAGAATATACTCCTTTCCCAATGCCCTTCTTATTTATCAGAATAATAGATGCTACTATAGAAATCAGATAATTTCCTAAGACTTTTAATGCAAGTATGACTTTGATAAGTTGGATGTTGTTTGCTTGCTTTCCTCCTATGTAGGTTTGGGCAAAACAGCACCAGATCCCTCAGCCACTGTCACTCTTGATGGTGTAGATGTTCCTTTAGGCAATGGAATTCCATCTGGAGTTAGCAATACCTGTCTTCTGTATAATGAGTATCCTTTGAAAAACATCTTTCTAAGTGTGTGGATTATACTGTTATCACTACCATAAAGCACAGCTTGCCTGTCTGCCAGACGTGGGCTGGTTCCAGACAGCTGAAGGCTGTCATTTTTAAGAAATATTAACCTTTTAATGTTGGTATGTGAGCTTTTATGCAACTCTTGTTATGAACAGCTATAGCTTTTCTAGCAGCTGTAAAGATTTAATGGGTAGGTACTCTTTCCCCACACTCATGCCTGTGCCCAAAAGGAAAACATGTTCTCAGTGGGTTTCGTCACATAACACAATACACCACCATGGAGACCCGTGGGGAACCTACAGCACATGTAGCTCTCATTTTGAATGTTACTCTCAGGAAGGCGCTGAATATGCAGGGTGGTGCCCACGGGCACTGAGTTTTACCACAGGGCCACAATTTGTTGTCCAGCCCTGGTTGATGGGTGTGCGCCAGACTTGGCTGTGCTCCTAGATTGCCAGGTAGCAACTTGAGGGGTGTTTATCAGTTATGCTGATGCATTAAGTCTCCTCCTTCCTGAAGTTGGTGGGGACTATCTTGCCATCAACTACTCCTTAGTACTCATAGATGGACTTCGCGACATGGTCTACCTGGGACTCTCTTGGTCACAGTTGAGAAGCTACAGCTTGGGTAGGAATGCAACATCTTTCAGGAATATAAGAAGTTGCTTTATACCAGTCAAACAACTGGCCCACCTTGCTCAGTATTGTCTATGCTGACTGGGACCCTTTCTCCAGAATTTCAGCCTGTATCTTCACTGTAGTTTGGGTATAGGGAACACAGAATACTAGCCTGAACCCTTTTACAGCTGTGAGTTTATTCTTTGTAAATACTGTGGTCCAGTATTGAAGGGAATATATTTTCCCATTCCACTACTGGTTTTTCCCTATCCCAAGAGAGCTGTTGTTCTGCATTCCATTCCTTAGGATGACCATTTTTCTATCAAGCTAGAGAGGAACATTTTCAGTTATGATACCAAAAGTTATGGAATGGCCTCCTCATGGTACCTCAGCCTGCCTCATTTCCCCAATTTCTAAATATTAGTAAAACACATTGGTTTTGTCCAGCTTTGGGGAGTGGCTGTGTAATAAGACTTTTAATGGATTTCATTTGTATTTTTAGAGGCTTAATGTTGTATATTTGAGCATGCACCATTTGTGCATGCACTGCATGAAAGTGATTAATAACACAAATGAAACACAAAATTAAGGGCAGGAAAACACATCAGAAGTTCTTTGGAGCAGTGGCCTGTGTGTGAATTTGACCATATATGTGGACACACAAAAGAAAATAGTAGTTAAAGGTAAGTAATTATTTATTTGGTGCTGCAAACACTTAAAAGCATCCACAGATTTCTAATGCCTATCATAAAATATCCTCTAAAATGATTTTCCTTAATCTGCTGTTTCCTTCAGATATATTGTCTATGATATTGCTCAGGTAAATCTGAAATACCTACTGAAACTGAAGTTCAACTATAAGACATCTCTCTGGTGAACAACAAATGCTTTTTTGAAGAGTTAATAATGCAAAACGTTTTGAAATACCTAAGCATTGATTCCCACTGCTGGGATTCACAAAAAAGTTGGAGGGCTTTGTTGAATCTAAGTTTAGTCAATCACCTTAGTAGGGCTTTTTAACACACATGTGCAACACATGAAACTGAATACTATGAGAAATTTTCTTTTGCCTCCCCCCATCCCTCTTTCCTGTCAAACCCACTCTAGATTTGAGGCTACTGTATTCCTTTAAATGACAGACCAAAAAAACCCAACACCCATGATGTTAGCCTTTTATAAGAGAGGCAGAGAAGAGTTGTTTAGAACTGTTTACAAGCATTTGCTTTTGTTTTTTTAATCTTCCTTAGTTTCTATTATGAATAAATGTTAAACATGTTTATTTTGAAGTGAAAATAAAAGCTAATTTCATACTAACCTTTTTATATTGCAAAACTTCAGTTGCTCTCCATGTAGTTTTGTGACCCTGTTATGTGTTCAGTTAAGAGTTACATAATAATACAAAAACTGATAGGACAGTGCTGACATGCTCCTCACAGTGTTTCAATGTCCTGCACCCCATAGCATAGGGCACCTGCCAATCAACACAGGGACCCCATGACATCAGCCAACCCGTATCCCTTCTACAGGTCACTCACAAAGAGGATGCTAGGGAAAGCTCTTCCCCTTGCATAAGCCGCTGAAACGAGAACTTCCATAGAGCAACAATCTGACCAGGCAATTGCAGGCCCTGATGTTATGGCACCTTTGTGGTCCTGCAGGAGACAGGTCAGCCTATCTATGCATAGGTGATCCCAGAATCATAATGGAACTAAGTTCAAGAAAGGTTTGGTTCTCAGTCAGTTACAAAAATGGGCTACTAGGAGGAGCATCCTTGTATAGCAGCCATTCTGAGTGACTAACCTTGCGCCCACAGATAGGGACTCTCATTTTGACCAACCTACTTCTTTCAGTGCAGCCAAATTCCCACCATCACCAACCCACACCCAGTTTCATTAGTTTAATTGGCTGTTTGCTAGTTACTGATGCAGAGGAACCTTGTGATCATACATATCAACTCTCCACTTGATAGGGTTCAGCTTCTGGATTTATCTTCATAACTTGGAGCAGAGAATCTGAGGAAATTGAACTGTTCTAGGGTTTTCTCCCTGCCCACATACACTCATCTTGTACTCTAGCTGCAGTATCCCATGGTGCTTTTCTACCTCTGCCAGTTCCTTCCTGCAAGTGGTGGTTCCACAGATTATGTTGTGCGTGTAGGACCCACTGGTTCCACATGGAAAATTTAGCACTTCCTAGAGGAAATTACAAAATAAGCAGAAATGCTCATTTCTGGAAGGAGGCAGATTGGTGAAGCTCCCTTATGGAAGCTGCATTTAAGAAAAAAAGGGGGTTGCTCATTTCGGGACTTCCTCACTTATGCAAACAGCAACCCCAAGTGTTTGCAACAGAATGAGGGGGATGCAAGAGAACCAGCAGGTGCATAAGTACCCCATTGGATAGTGGCCTAGGCATGTGTGACTGAAAACTGGCGGGAAAAATACCATTCTTGATAGCACTTGCCAAAAATAAAAAGGGCATAATAGTATATACAGGAATATGGTTATTCTGTTTTTCTAATGGGCTACTACTGAAGTAAGCTAACGCATGCTTAGGGAAAATGGCATGACAGATGAAAAAGTTCTAAATTTGAGCACCCTGTTGTACTTTGTTTTATGCTGGAAAATATATACCTCAGAACTGCTACCTATGCACAACAGAAAGACTTCAGAGCATAAACATTTAAATTTTATCAAAGATGACAGAAGCCAGGGCTGTGTGCTACAAAATATTAAAATTCTGCTTGAATGGGAAGAAAAGCTTGAATGGTGAAGCATGTATAAACTACAGGCATGGATAATTTCTCTTATTTTTTTTCCATTATTTCTCAAGACTTTCTTAACTCTTCCCTTCCACATGTGTAGCTATAGCAGAAAAAGAACTAGGCAGTGGAAACTGAATCCCACTGAAAATATTCCAGCTTCTTAGATTCCACTAAGCATTGCACACGGACTTTAAAGCATCTGTACAAGTAGAATAGCAAAACAACTTGTGTAGGAAGAACAACCATCCTCTGAAAAGAGACACTCCCCACTGAGCAATTTACACAATTTGGTTTAGCTCACACTCAGCAACTTTTTGAAGCCAATCCTCAGTTCTAGCTGACTGTATTCTCCCCTACGTAGTGGCCAAGGAGCTTGCTCAGAATGTCCCCTTAGATCAGCGCTGTGTTCTGCCTCAATCCTATATATGGGCATGAAAAGCAGCAGCTTTATACTTTGGGAAATAGATGGCAGTGAAAAGTACCCATAGCCCTGTCATCTGTGTTTGTTTTATTAAACTACTAACCATGGCCTGCACAGAAAATCAGAGGAGAACTAATGCAAAAGTAAGCAGCCAAATCCAGTGTTTTCTGAGTGCCCTCACTGTTCCATTTAATTTTTAAAAAGTTTAGACAGACTTTTTTAACCCGGTGGCCTGGATTAATGGGAGCAAGTGAGGGAGTCCAATTTAAAACTTTACTGTAACTTTCCATCCATATTATTTTTCATGTTTTATTAATCCTCCCATGATTAACTATTTCTGTTTAGTGGGTTCCTGAGCTGAAGCGGAAGCAGGGCAGTGACTCCTTGGTTTCTCCTACTATGAGCTGGCCTCTGTCTCACCAGCAGTAATTGGCCTTAGCCACCATGGTTTACGACCCTGTGGACTTGAAACTTAAAAATAAATGCTGAGTTTCTGATGCTCTTCAGCAGAACTTCAGAACATACAAAGACATAGACTGCAGACAAAAAGTTTTGAGAGCTAGAGAAATAACATGAGATGGATACAGCATGGATAGCCAAGTGTATCTTTCTTGAGGTCCGGATCCAACCTTATTTCAGATTCAAGGATACTCAAAAATAACCACTTGTATCAAGCCTATTTAATACAATAGTGAAAGAGGGGTGCAGAATATAAAGAGACTAAAGAAATCTTATACATCCCTTTTCTGTGACCATATTGGTTGCCTGAACAGGCAGCCAAGGTGGTGTTTCTACAGCCTCCAATGTTGCATGGGCAAGCAACATGTCAGTTCCCTAAGCCAAGTACAAGAAACGCTTCTTGCTATGAATTTTACTGAGGGGCATTTAATGTATTCTCGGTATCGGGTTGATTTGCTATTGATGTGGGTAATTTAATTATTTCATTAACTAATGACACTATCTGAGGGTATACATGCAAAATTTCAAATAAGTGTGATCATTAGTTCCCTAGTAATCCTCAGTGAAAGACTAACATAATGACTGACGCGACAATGTTGAAGAATATCGAGCACCACACTGTGATTAAGTTCCTTACAAAACAAGGAAAAAGTCAAAAAATCATTCACGAAGAGATGGTGGTCATTTACCAGGACTCTGCACCTTCATATCTACTGTTCAAAAGTGGTCAAGTTAATTTAAAAGGGGCAGAGAAAGCATTGAAGACGACCATCGCTCGGGCGGGCTGGTTACTGCCACTACGAAAGAAAATGTGAAAAAAATTGAGAAACTGGTATTGGAAGATGCCTGAATAAAAATCATAATGTTAGCAGAGATGACAAACCTATCCGTTGGTACTATATTATTTTTCATGACCATCTTAACCTTTCAAAGGTCTGTGCAAGATGGGTGCTGTGAATGCTCATGCCGCCTCAGAAACAAGTCGAGTGCTGTAGGGAGTTTTTAGAGCTCTGTGGTGAAGATCCATTGAGTATTCTCGACTGGATTGTTACTGGAGATGAAACTTGGGTTCATCACTGTGACCCTGAAAGCAAGCAGGAGTCCATGCAGTGGCATAAAAAAGGTGCTGACCCTTCGAAGAAATTCAAAGTCACTCCATCGGCAGGAAAAATCATAGCCGCAGTGTTTTGGGACTCAAAGGGAATTTTATTGATCGAGTACACGAAAAAAGGTGAAACCATAAACACAGCATCTTACGCAACCACTCTGCGTAATTTAAGAGAAGCAATTAAAAAAGGCGGGGAAAACTGACCGCTGGTGTGTTGCTTCTTCACGACAACGCACCAGTTCACATGGCGCGTCTTTCGAAGGCTGCTGTGGGAGACTGTGGTTTCGAAGAAATAAACCACCCACCCTATAGTCTGGACCTGGCCCCCAGTGACTACTACCTATTCCCGAATTTAAAAAAAGATCTTCGTGGAAAGAGATTTTCCGACGATGAAGAGCTCAAGGCGGCAATTAACGCACATTTTTTAGACAAGGAGGAAGGGTATTTTTTTACAGGGAATTGAAAAGTTAATTTCTAGATGTAATAAGTATATTGAAGTTATGGGGGATTACATTGAAAAATAAAAATTATTTCAATTTATTATTCCTTTTTCTTCATGCTGATACCGAGAATACATTGAACGCCCCTCAGTACAAAAAACACTTCTTGCTATGAATTTTACAAAGTTCCTCTCTCCCCATTTCAGATACTGTCTTTACACACAGGATCTAATCCTCTTTCTTGGGTGACCAAGAAGTAACAAAGCTGCTTCAGTAAAGCAAATGGTTTTGGTAGTCACAGAAATGGCAGCTCTTGCCAGAGGAATAACAGGGAAAGTAGCTTCAAGGCAGTTATCTCATGTGCTCTTCCTAATGAGCTAAAGATTTAAGAACATGGCTGGACTACAAAAAGCTACCTTAGGTTGGACACAGGAATTCACTAGCTATTTAAACTTAATAACCTGACTTATTTCAGTCAAGCCCATCCAATACATCAAATGAAACAACTGAAGTGCTAGTGGTCTGATACCCATTCATGCCTTAAAGAATTGTGGTTCAAGAACAGCCCCATTACGTCTAAACTAATTTTCAATGCTCCAAGCTCCTAATGCAGAATTTTTGGCATCTGAGGTTTCAGATTGGGTTTGTTTTGGGGACCTTTGAGCTGAAAATACCATGACATAGGTGTGAAGCAAGGCTTCAAATTGTGTTCTGAGATGGACTGGTAAGCAACGCAGATTGCAGAACAGTATCATCATATGGTGATATTTAGTGCCAGTTATCACTGGTCTATTGGGCCCATTTTAAACTAAAGTTTCCAGATGATTGTCAAAGATGACTCTACATACAAATGCATCACAATAATCCAAACGGGATACCATCCTGTGAATTGCAATCATAAAGCTTTTTCCAGGTAGAGTTGAAGTTACCTGAGGGCACTCCCAAGGCCACCTATGCCTCTAGTGAAACAGACCTTAGTCTTGAGGGATGTGCAGCCCTCTTCAGAGAATGCTTAACAGCACAAACCATGGACAAATATTTATCTTTTCTGTACTGAGTCTCAGCGTATTCCTCAGTCTAGTCCATTTAACTGAAACATGGATGGCTATACTTCACCAAGGAAAT